ACACACACAACCACACACACACACACACACACACACACACACACACACAAACTCACTCACTCACTCACTCACACACACACACACACACTCTCTCTCACACACACACGCACTCACACACACACACACACACACACACACACACACTCTCTCTCTCTCTCTCTCTCTCTCTCTCTCTCTCTCTCTCTCTCTCTCTCCCTCTCTCTCCCTCCCTCTCTCCACACAACCACATCACATCACACATGATATGCACACATAATATCCCCCTTGTCTTTCTTTGCACAGACCGCACAAACACAGCACGACGAGTACTGGCATACACACATCGACAAGGTGCAGTTCTTGCAACAACATCATCACACACCGACACGTACACGCACACAGTGAAGGTGCAACCTATTCTTCCTCACCAGCCGCCTCTGCCTGCGCTCACCTATTTGCTCACACACGATCACACCCCACTTCACCACTGCACCACACTGCAACTTGGTTGTGCCAAGGTGACTTATGGCAGCTTTGACTACACGTGTCTGCTGTATCTCTCCACATACCGTCAGAACTTCACCGGCGGCCGCTTCGTCTTCGAGGTGCGCACCCATCACCCTTCATTATCATCCATCCACCATCCATCCACCATCTATCCACCATCCGTCATTGTTGATGTTGTGATCGGTGCGAGATGTTGCTCCATACCCATGTCACCACCACGCCAATGTGGCATGCGACCACTCACACATATTGTGTGTTGTGCATATTGTGTGTGTGCTTGCTGTTGCTGTCACGTTTGACAGGACAAGAGCTATCGCGGTGGCGACATGCACCGCGTCGTGGAACCAAAGGCCGGTACGTCCCCACACGTGCACACACAAGCTGTCACAAACACGAAATGCGCGACACACGTGTCTCCCACAACGCACCCAAGCTCACACCACCACCACCACCACCACTACCACTACCATCACTCGACCCGTGTGGCTGTGGCAGGGCGTGTGTCGTGCTTCACCTCTGGGGCGGAGAACCCGCACCACGTGGAGCAGGTGGCATCAGGCACCCGATATGCCCTGACGATTGCGTTCACGTGCGACCCCGATATGGCCATCCCACAGCCCAGGGCAACAGAGGCCACCACGTCCTCTGCCGTGCCCTCAAACTTGTAGCGCTCGTGTGGCGTGGGGGTGGTTGAGCGTGGTTGGTTGTGGTTGGTTGTGGTTGGTTGTGGTTGGTTGTGGTTGGTTGTGGTTGGTTGTGGCGCACACCACGGTGTGCTGCCCATTGCATGGATAAAGGAAACAACACACCCCTGGCGTGAAGGCAAGCAAGCAAGCAGCCATTCAAACGCACGCACATTCACACACACAAAACACAACACAAAACAACACAACCCCACTGCTGCAGAATCATCAGGCGTCAGGTCATTCCTGCCTGACTTTTCCTCCAAACACACACACGCACAAAACAAGACAGGAGCGGACGAAGGAAGGAGCACGAGGCAGAGAGGACACGCAAGGACACTCGAGACTATGGCCATGCGAACAGCGCTGCTGCTGGTGGTGTTGGTGCTGGTGGTGGCCAGCAGCGTGTGCGAGTGTGCGGCCCAACAAGGCAGTGGCAGCAACAGCTCAGTGAGTGCCGATGCGACCACGACAACCCAGACCACAACAACAACAACAACGACGACGACGACGACGTCTGCATCGAGTGGCGTGGTTGTTGTGCCCATGCTGAGGCATGCCGAGCAAAGCTTCGCCGCCAACTCAACAGCAGCGCACTCCCTAGCTCGCCACGCTCACCGATACGGCTTCGTCCCCGTGAGTTCCTTGCAACCCCTGATACTGGCGCTTCTTGGGCCTTGTTTGCATGCCTGCTTGCCAATGACCTCAACGATCGCGGTCATGCGTCCTGTCCTGTCCGCTCCTCCCATCTGTTGGCACATGCTTCCCTTCTCCCCGATCTCACTCTGTGCACATACGTTGCGATGCTGTGCAGCCCATCACAAACATTTCCCTGCGCGGATACCCTGCGACAGCCTACCACGTGCAGATGTCGTTTGGAACCAACGGCGCGGGTGGCGAGGTGTGTGTGTCTGTGCATGTGCGTGTCTGTGCCTGTGTGTATGTGAGTGTACGTCTATGCCTGTGTGTGTGTGTGTGTGTGTGTGTGTGTGTGTGTGTGTGTGTGTGTGTGTGTGTGCCTCTGTCTGTGTCTGTGTCTGTGTGTGTTGCAGCATCGATCCAAGGCCCAACAGTTGATCCCTACTTGCACTGGACCCCTGCGCATGTGTGTGCTCTCATGTTGCTGCCTCTGCTCTTTGCCAATCCAGCTCAACTGCGTCGTTGATACCGGGAGCAGTAACCTCGGTAAGCGCTGCAAATCACACACTTCGGGATATGCTTGTGCAAGTACCCTGCCAGCCCCTGGATCCAATCGTGCTGGCAAATATTGCACATGCACTCCCCTCAACCTTGTACATGCACCCCCCCCCCCTTACATCTCCCTCACTCCACTATATGACAACACCACACCATGAAACGGCAGCCGTGTCCGCGGACCCCACAGATGATGCCAAGAATCACTTCAAGTACGATCCCATCATAACCGGATGCTTCCTGTCTGAACTGAACTGTATGCGTGGGTTACTTATGCCTTGATTGCTTGCTTGCATGCTGTCCCTCGTATGTAACCCCTTCTGGCATGCTGTTGCTGCTGCGCCCTCTGCAGGACTACGGACACGACCACGTGGATGTCCACGTACTTTAACGTCGAATATGTGGTGAGTACGAGCTACACTCGTGCGTGAGTGCTCTGTGCATGTGTGCGTTTGCGGTACGTGTGTGAGTGTGCTGTACTTGTGCGGTACGTGTGCGGATGCATGCACATTTGCGCGCGCACACGCACACACGCACACACGCACACGCGCACACGCACGCACGCACACACACACACACACACACACACACACATGAAACCGCTCGCGTGTAGTCGAACGCCCGTCTCACCTTCTGCACGGCACCATGTGTTGCTTCGTGCTGTCCGTGCGTGCACAGATGTCCGGTTGGAGGGCGGAGCGCGTCTCAGACATTGTCGGGTTTGCAGGCGAACCCGCACTTCGTAAGTAAAATGCGGATGTGCTGCTGTTGGTGCTCGAGTGTGTATGCCTCACTACACTCTTTTTGAGGTACACGAGCGTTGTGAATTGTGTCACGAACGCTCGCCACACACACACACACACACACACACACACACACACACACACACACACACACACACACACACACACACACACACACACACACACGCAACTGCAGGCGATGTGGTTGAGTTTGGCGGGATTATTGAATCCACAGACTTCTTCCAGGAGAAGAGCACATATGACGGCATTCTCGGCCTCGCATACGCCGCAATTGCCGCTGTACGTGCTTGGGGTTGTGCTCTTGCATGTGTATGTGTGTGTGTGTGTGCTCGTGTGCATCGGTGGAAGGAATTTCAATGCATGCATGCGTGTGTGCTTGTTCATGAGTTTGCCGCTCGTGTATCAGCAGATGTGTGATCTCATCTGCCTTGGTCCATTGTCACCCATCGTGAGCGATTGTCGTGCAACATGGCAAGACACCGTCACCCTCACTCACACGACTGTACACACACACACACACACACACACACACACACACACACACACACACACACACACACACACACACACACACACGCACGCACACACACACACACACACAGCCGCCAAGTGACCCCGTAGAGCCGTTCTTCACCACCATCATCCGGAAACAGGACGTGAACCCCGTGTTTGGGGTGCAGATGTGCGTGCTGCTGCCGAGCCCCATTGTTGCGCCGTCACATCCAAGCACCACCGCACACCCCATCCCGGCCAACGCATCTTCGACCTCGGCAACAACACCGTCATCAATGACAATGGCTGATGCTTCCACACACGCCGACAACACCACGACAGCTGTATCATCATCATCATCATCATCATCATCATCATCATCATCATCATCATCATCATCATCATCATCATCATCATCATCGTCGTCGTCGCCATCATCTGCACGGGCTGTTCTTCCGTCTGTCTCCAAACACACCGTCAGCCGCGACACGTACACAAGCTACGGTCGGCTGGTCAGTGAATACGCCCCCCCCCCACACCACACACACACTAGCGTTCGGCTAGATATTCTGTTTGCTTGTGTGTGACTCTCCATGTTTTCCCGCCAAATCACGCTTGTTCCTTCCACTCACGCCCTTGCTGCTGTGTGCATGTTTGCGTGTGTTTTAATCTGTGCAGAGCGTTGGTGGGGTTGACACGACACACGCTGTGCACCCCTTTGTGTACACCCCGACCTTCATCGACGACTTTTACACCGTCGTCGTTGCCGACATCAAAGTTGGAGGCGTCTCAATCGGTACACACACGCATCACCCTCGCCTGTGCAGTGTGTGATATGCGATGTGCATTATATGTGTGAGCAGCGTGCATTTGCACCCACACGTGTCGTAGTCGGTTGAATGCGTGCTGATGTTCTGGTACCCCGCTCACTCTCTGTTTCCCAACACTGAACGTCACTGACGTCGTGTTTGCACGCACTCCTTCGTTTCCCTTCCTTCTCCTTGTTGTATCAGATATGGATTGCCGCCTGTACAACTCGCCCTACTACTCCATCGTTGACACGTGAGTCCAGCAGTGGAACTTTTGATCGTGCTTGCAGGCATCTATATTCGCCGGCGCCTCCTTACCACACGTGCACACACGCACGTGCAAGTGCACGCGCACACCCACGCATCACTACACATACGTTTCTCATCCCTTTTCTCTCACCACCACAATCACCCACCACCACCGCCACCACCACCGCCACCACCACCGCCACCACAATCGCCATCACAATTGCCATTGCCGTTAGTGGTACGACGGATGTGATTGTGCCGACGACGGTGCATGCTCCGATTGTGCAGCAAGTGGACGAAGTTCTCCTCCTCGGGAACGACCAGCGCCTTGCAGACGCATTCTACAAGGTGCCGTTGGGGGATTGTAAAGGGGAAGGGATGGGGTGTGACTTACTTGGTTGTCTGGTTGGCTGGTTGGCTAGCTTGGTTTGTTTGTTTGTTTGTTTGTTCGCTCGTGTATCTGTTCGTTCGTGTGTGAACATGCGCGTGTGCCCCGCTGTGTATGCCTGTGTGTGTGAACATGCGCTCTCACGCATGCGTATGTGTGTGTGTGTGTGTGAGCGAGAGCGTTTGCTCTCGTGACAACAACAGCAATAGCCGCTCGTCTCATCCACACGTGTTGTTGGTGCTGCAGGGCGAGACGTGCCTGGACATTGACGACGAAACCGTATACACGATGCTGCCAGATATCCACTTCAGGTGCTCACACGGCGACACTGAACACGTGTGCTGATGCGCTCCACCAATGATGTTCTTTTCTCTTGTTGCACAAGACTGTAAACGCGCCACACACACATATACAAACATACATACATACATATATATATATATGTATATATATATGTATATATATATATATATGTATATACATATGTATATATTCACACGCACTTAAACCGCTCACACACGCTCGCGCGCGCGCGTTCCTCTCCACCAGTGTGCTGTCGAGTGCAAACCAATCTGAGGCGTTTGATCTGCGTGTACCGCCATGGCGCTATCTCCGCTTCGCTGTCGATAAGGACCAAAACCGCTGCTACTTCTTCAGCATTGTGTAAGCTGGCACGCGCCTACTCGCATCCGTTGGTGTGTGTGTGTGTGTGTGTGTGTGTGTGTGTGTGTGTGTGTGTGTGTGTGTGTGTGCAAACGGGCAACGTGTTGCTGCTTATGTGTATACACACACGTACATGCGGTCTCAATCCACACACGATCACGCTTCCCCTTCACCGTTGCACACGCGCTCTCGTCTGCACTGGCAGTCCTCTCGACGACCAGACGGGCATCACGCTCGGTATAACAGTGCTGAGCGGGTACGTGGTGTCCTTTGACCAGTCCAATGCCCGTGTCGGCTTTGCTGTGTCCGACTGCTCTGGGTATTGGGAGGAGGACACCATGCGTGGGATTGAGCCGCAGCCAACGCCTTACCCGCTGCGTACGTCCTCCGTGTGTGTGTGTGTGTGTCTGTGTGTGTCTGTGTGTGTGTGTGTCTGTGTGTGTCTGTGTGTGTGTCTGTGTGTGTCTGTGTGTGCATCTGAAAGAGAGAGGTGTTTCGTTGATGACTCTGTGTTTGTTTGTTTGTTTGATGCAATTCCAACCGGCATCTCGCCGCGTGTGATGGTGCCATTGCCACATTCTCACCCCTGTGCAATCACGCATGCCTGTGCGCGTGTTCTCGTGTACACCAACAGCGTTTGACTCGGCCCGCTGCTTCCCAGTCATGAAGGACTCGGATATTCCCTCGGTCAGTGGACAGCGTGTTGACTGCACGCATACACGATGCACATCACATGTGTTCACACACACAACCCCCCCCCGCCTGCAAACACAGAAACACAAATGCACACACGTTCCCAAGCACGCATGCATGCACGCACACGCATGCGCACTTGTATCTTATGCGCTGTTGTTCTCACCCTGGTACTCCCCCCTCCTCTCCTTTGTGGGTATGCGCAGCTTTGGGTGTATGTGACGGTTGGCGTTGGGGGCGGTATGCTCGTCGGCACCGCAGTGGCACTTCTCTGCTTGTGAGTCATCCGCGATGCCTGCAAGCACGCACTCTTCCTCACTGCCCTTACTGTCACATCGCTCTTTCGACCAACTTTGCTCAGTGGCTGATGCGTTGCTTTATCGCAGCGTGCCGTCAGCGTGCACGCCCATACACGCACACATACTCACGCACATATACTCACGCACACATGCACATGCATGTGCGCGCATCACACCATTGCAACGACGACCGCCACCACCCACCTGTAGCGTGTTCAAGTGGCGCAAGAAGAAGCGCACGGCGCCGCAAATGCCCGAAATTGCGGGTGTGAATGCGCCGGGGACCAATGGACACGGCAGCATCAACGCAACCAAAGTCGCTGTCGACCAAGTTGTCGTCATGGATGACTCGGGTGCGTTGATGTTGTTTTGCGTGTTTTGTGTTTTCGTGTTGTATTTGTGTTTCGTGTGGGTGCAAACTAATGTTTGTGTGCGTGTGTGTTTGTGTGTGTGTGTTTGTGTTTGTGTGTGTGTGTGTGTTTTGTGTGGGTGCGAACTAATGTGTGTGTGTGTGTGTGTGCGTGCAAACTAATGTGTGTGCGTGTATGTGCGCATGCGTGCAAGCCTATGTGGGTGTATGTGCAAATGTGCACTCGTGTCTCTCGATGTGTATTGTGCTGAATGCAGGTCTCTTTGCCAAGACTTGATGTGTGCTCTCCCAGCGGCCCCCTGCTTCTCCACCACACTCATGTCTCCTTGCCGCCATTTTTTTCTTTTCAGGTGCTGTTGACTTTGACTATGGAATGGCTGACGAAGACAGCCATGAGGACCACTACCATTATCATCACCATCATCATCATTACACAAACAGTCGAACTGGGAGCCTTCGTCGCGATGACAATGCACCGCGCACCGCCAGCATGGTGGAGGAAGCGGACGTCGACCACCCATATGGATCGTCTGAAGCGTAATGTCGACGGCAATGCCGGCATGTCTTCGTTTCCCTTTGCATGCTTTTGACTGCTTTGTTGTGCTGGTGTTGGTTCTCCAGCGTTGTTCGTTACGATGGCGTGACAGCCATTGCCGATGTGTGTGCTGCTGCCAATGGGCAGTGCACACTTGATCTTCTGCGTCGACTTCTTGTTGTTTCTCACAGGTTCATTTTGTAGCTGTTTGTGGTACTCTGAATATCCAGCGTGGGGGTGTGTTGCATGGCTACGTTCCTTGATCATGCACGGCCTTCCGCCGCGCTTTGCTTTTCTTTTCGGTTAACTGACCTCTTTGGCGTTTCTGTTCTCGGTTCCCATTCCAGCCCGTCTGTGCTTTCCACTCGTTAGCTTCACATCACGGCTCGCCCTCTCATCACCGTTCCTCCCAAGCCACAAACACAAACACACACACACACACTAACACAGAGTACACGCTTGTCAGCAGCATGCCGTGTGTTCACGTTGGCGTCGTGTGATTGTGACATTCATTGCTTAGATCATCAACAAACAACACTGTTAAGAAGCCACACAAGTGAACCAACAACCACAAAGCACACACACACACACACACACACACACACACACACCGAGTCACTGCGAGCCGTGGTGGTTGGTGCGACCACACAGCACAGCGGGTGAAATGGACATCATGCAACATCCAACACACAAGATACAAACGACTGCGAGACAGCAAACAAGCGGGCTACACTGGAGTGTGACATCTGCTGTGCCAAGCGCAGCTCAACGAGCAGAAAGCAGGCGGAGAGGGGGGCAAAGAAGCAAGGTGGGGACGGACAGTGACTGGTGGTGGTGGTGGTGGTGGCAGTAGCAGTGTGGCGAGGTTGTGAGACAGAGCCAGCCAGAGAGAGACGGAGGAAGGCAAAACAGAAGGAAGGGTTGCATGGATCGTGGTGGTCCAGTGGGGGCACAGCTGGAGAGGGAGAGCAGCTGAGGCGGCACCAACACTTGTGCGGCCGTAATCAGCGCACGCATGAGCCGCAATGTGCAGTGCCATGGTAACAGTTGCGTACATCCATCCACTGGCTGCTCAAACGAGCACGCAGTCTATCCGTGAAACCCTCCTCGCACACACGCACGCACACACGCGCATATGCGCGTGAGGCGAGAGTTTTGGGGGGGGGGGGTGATGGACAAACACCCACCACGCACGCACAGCCACGCACCGCCAAGGACAACCGGACAAGACAGCCGCCCCACAGCTACAGCTGGGCAACAGCTGAGGATGTCACAAGGATTACAAAACAACACCGCAAACAAGAAAGGACAGCACAGACACGGGCAAAGATGGACTTATAGCAAGTGACAAAACCGGAACAACAGGAAGGGGGGAAAGCTAAGCGGAGGTTTAGGAAAAGCCGAGCATGGGGTTGGTGTCGTGTGGAGAGCAGTATGTTGGACGGATGTTTTGTCGCGGCTGCACTTGCACTGTGACTTTCTGGAACCTCGCCTCAATTCGTACGCGAAACGACCCTGCAATGAAAAAAAAAAAAGCATGACGTACGAGTGTGTGTGAGTGTGTGTGAGTGTGTATGTGAGTGAGTGAGTGTGTGAGTGAGTGTGAGAGAGTGTGTGTGTGTGATGCAATTGGTGGACTCAGGTGCAGAGGATGGTCGACAAGAGGCAAACAAGGTGTTTGGGGATCCGAGGTGATTGGTGCTTCAACACTACCTCCTTGGTTGTTTTGTTGCATAGCTGCTCAATCCATCACGAAGTGAGGATACAAGACGAAATGTACAGCCCGTGGCAGCAATCACAAGGCACGTGTCTGGCGTGAGCGTGGTGAACAGGAAGGTTGCAAACACCGGAAACAAACCAGCAGCAGCCCGCTTCCCCGCCCTTCTCTGCCTCTGCACCTCCCTCGCACAACGCAGCCATGGCATGATGCTCTGTGCACATCACCTGCTGCTGGCGGTGGCGGTGGTGGGGCGGCAGAGCGGCCTGGCGGTGGCGGCGGCCCGCGTGCTGGTGGCGGCGCGGGTTTGGATCCCGACGGTGGCGGTTGGCGGTGTGCTGTGCGCAGCAGGAGGCGGAGGCGGAGGCGCTGCGCATTCGGCCTAGAACCCCCCCAACAAAAGTATCGGCAGCTGGTACGAGTCTACCCCTACCTCAATGGTATTGCGTTATCTAAACCCGACACACGCCATACGTTACGTGCACCACGCGCGTCTAGCCTGAATGTGGCCCTGCAACGGTATCAAAATGCGACGTTGCGTGTGCCGCGATCCTGCTTCGCGCCTTAGCCAAAAGCCCGTCCCGATTAGAGTGCACAGAGCGTCACCCATAAAGACCAAAGCTGCGACCATTGCTGACCTGGCGGCGGTGGCGGCGGGTTTGTGCGCGACGGCGGCGGCGGCGGGGGTCCGCGGTTACCGGGCGGCGCTGGCGGTGGTGACGGCTTCGACAGTTGGCTCCTGCGATCGGCATAGTGGTGGTGGTGGTGGTGGTGGTGGTAGAAGGGGTAAGAGACGGTTGCGACCAAGCCAGACCCCGCACACACACACACACACGCACACACACGCACACACACACACACACACACGCGCGCGCGCATACACACACGTATTCACACACGCATATACATACACACACGTATCAGCACGCATACACACACATACACACATACACACATACACACACATACACACGCATATACACATGTATACACAGAGTACGTGGTTCAAAACTGCAACAAGACATGGTCGCATGACGCACGGAAGAGGAGGTTTTGCCGAGGGCGGCGGGAGAGTTGGCTTCTGTGCTGCTGAGGGCGGTGGTGGCGGCGCGTTTGGCCGCGACGCTGCGCCAATGGAGGATGTGCGGACCGGCGGCGGTGGCGGTTTGGACCGACTCGACGGCGGCGGCGGGGGGCCAGTTCTCCCTGGTGGCGGCGGCGGTGCTGCTGATCTGTTTGGCGGCGGCGGTGGTGGCCCTGATCGCCCTGGTGGCGGTGGCGGTGGCCCTGTCCTGCCGGGCGGCGGTGGCGGCGGACCTGAACGTCCTGGTGGGGGTGGGGGTGGGCCAGTGCGGCCTGCCATGGTGGTGATGATGGGGGGGGATGGCCGTGGTGGTCGTGGTGGGATGCAGTGAGCGATGGCAAACATGTGAATGTGTGTGTGTGTGTGTGTGTGTGTGTGTGTGTGTGTGTGTGTGTGTGTGTGTGTGTGTGTGTGTGTGTGTGTGTTTTGTGTGCGCACACAGAAGTGGAGTCAGAATTGGCAGGGACCTGGTGGTGGAGGCGGTGGTCCCGATCGGCCTGGTGGGGGCAGTGGAGGGCCTGACGATGCACCTCCGATGGACGGCGCTGTCTTGGGCGGCAGTTTCGCTGCACCGGGCGGTCTGGCCATGGCCAGGACACAGCGCGATGCACGTGGCGTGGACGATGGGTGGGAGAGGGACAAGGTGCAAGCGGATGAGTGGGAGTGTGCGTTCGAGAGAGTGCGTGTGCAATTGAGAGTGTGCGTGTAATGAGAGTGTGAGTGCATGTTGAGTGAGTGGGTGGGGCGGTGGTAGTGGATGTGTGTGTGCGTGTGTGTTCCAAATGTGATGAGAAGAAAGCGGCGCAGCCGCTGCGCTTGCATGTGCAGTAAAGAGAAGCAAACGCAAATCCCCCACGGCCCAATGTGCAATAATGTTGCTTGTGGGTGCATACCTCAATGCGGGGCCGCCCGGGGCGCGATCACTGGCCTTCTTGAGTGTGGGCATGCCGTTTGCAAAGAGCCCGCCCAGCCCGCCAGATGGGGGCCCGCTGCTGCTGCCGCCGCCTCCGCTGCCACCGCCAGAGGGGCCTGACGAAGTCTTGCCTGCACACGCGGCCCGTGCACGTGAACAGAGACGGACGGCAGAGCCGGGGGGGCGATGGGAGATGGTGTGAGTGAGCGTATGGGAGTGAGTGAGAGGAAATGCGTGTGCAATCCAGTGAGTGAGTGAGTGAGTGAGTGAGTGAGTGAGTGAGTGAGTGAGTGAGTGAGTGAGTGAGTGAGTGAGTGAGTGAGTGAGTGAGTGAGTGAGTGAGTGAGTGAGTGAGTGAGTGAGTGAGTGAGTGAGTGAGTGAGTGAGTGAGTGAGTGAGTGTGAGTCTGTTGGTCAAAGAGTCAGTGTGAGTGAAGGAGACAATGAGTCCGCCAGCCAGTCGGCCAGCCAGCCAGCGGGCCAGCGAGTCGCTGAGCCAATGCGAATGTGCATCGTTTGTGTGCGGTGATAGTTGAGGGCCACTCTGGGTTCTTGCCACGCCACTCACCGACGACGGGTGCACTGCGGTCGTTTGTGACAGCCTTCTTCAGCTTCGCTCCTTTGTGGATGGCCGATAGCAACGCACCTCGGCCCTGTGCACGCAGCGACACGGGTGGGGATGGTATGCTTGGTCAACAACTTCGAGAGGGGGGGGGGCACCGCAAAGGACTACATCACGGCAGACATCGCATGCGTGCGCATGGATACACGTGCCAGCACCTGTGCTGCATTCTTGGAAAGCTTTGGTGGTCCCGATGGCGCCGCCGGTGGGGGCTGCGGGGGGCACGTGTGTGCGTTATGGGGGGGGGGGGGTGAGGAAGCCGCACTTTGTCAATGGGCTGCTTGTGCGGGCGCGACCTCGTGATCGCAAGCACAGGCATGCAGTGCAGCACTGTCGACGCAGAGGTGAGTTGAACAGCATACTTACAGGCGCTCCCGGTGGAGGAGGAGGGGGTGGTGGTGGCATCGTGCCCTACTGTGAACTTGTTGGTGTGATTCAAAACCCTTGCTTGTGGCATGTGTGTTGTGTGTGTGTGTGTGTGTTGTGTGTGTGTGTTGTATGTGTGCAATCTGTTAGCCGACGTTGCGTGTGGGTGTGCGATGCAGTGGTGGTAGTGAAGCTTAGGCGCAGAGGGGTTAGGCGCAGGGTGGTCTGGTTCGCGGTATGTGATATGCGTCAATGATGGTGCAGTGGGAACCCGATTCCTGTCGTGTGCTGACTGTCGTGTGCTGAAGCCGACATCCGAACGACAGCGTATGTGTGGGGCGTGTGTTGAAAGTGTGCACCTTTTTTGCTGGCGAGTGTGTCTCCTGTTGTTGTCTTCCTTTCAGGGGCGTGAAGCTGCTGGTTCTGTGAAGGAGCAGCCCCGTGTGTGGCGGGTGGTTGAAAGGCGGGATGTGATCACAGGGGTGTGTGAGCAGACATACACCGACACCATCACACAGGAGGGACAAGGGGAGGAGTCCAACCACGCTCACATAGAGATCACTCGCACACACGTGATCGAGGTGCGCCAAGAGAGTGTGCGTGCATGTTTGTGTGTGTGTGTGTGTGTGTGTGTGCGACGTGTGCGTGTGTGTGTGTGTGCGACGTGTGCGTGGTGTGTAGATCTTTGCAGTCGTTTCGACTCAGGACAAGGCAAAGTCAGCAAGCACACGTACACGCACACAAAAACAAACAAAACCACACACAAGAGACATCGGGTCTCAGCAGGTGGACAGTCGCTCACAGCCCACTGAGGCACACGGCCGGATCGGCGTGCCTGCGGTGCCACGACGCGCGCACCGACGACTTCCTCAACCCACACCACCACCACCACCACTACCACCACCACCACGGACTCACAACAGCAGCGGGCGCACGAAGGAGGAGGAGGGCCGCTGGCTTGGTTGGAGAGCGGCGACGATGAGGTTGTCGTTTGTCGTTCTTTGTTGGTGGTGTTGGTGTGTGTTGGCGGAGAACCGAAAAATAAACTATTCTCACGGTTTTTGTTTGTATCTTTATTGAATTGTCGTTGATGTGCATTGTAGTGTATATCTTACATATATTTTCATCAAGTGCCTTGAAGGCCCGCTCCTTCCCACTCCTGCCCAAAGAAAAGGCTATGAAGATTTCCACAAACAACACATGTGGCTGACGTCATTTTCCAGAGCGCCAACTTCACACAACACCCCTCCCCCTTCACGCCAAACACCACAACAAACCACACGCGTGAATTGTGTCGGCGTCTGTTTGTGTATCCGCTGAGAGTGCCGCTCTCTGTGTGTTTGAGTGTGTGTGTGTGTGTGTGTCAACAACAACCACAAACAGCTGCTTCGTTGCCGCAAGCAAGCAAGGCTACATACAAGTCGCCTCTTGTCTTCCTCTGTTTGTGGTGCGACAAACCCGAAAATGAACAAGCAGAGCAAGCACGGCAGGCGAAGCAGGCGCAACAATGTCGGGGTGTGCGTTGCGTGGTTCGTAATGGTCGCTGTGCTTGCACTTGACGGCTACGACTCGGTGCTCAACGGAGTCGCCGCACTCACAACGGTAAGAGGCGGTGGGTTTACTTTGTTCGTGTTCCGGTGGTTTGTCGGAATCGAGCTGCTTGGATGGCAGCGCGGTTGGCTCTTTGTCTTTGTGATTGTGCCCTGTGCTCATTGCAGAAACCGCTGCGCCACAAAGTGCTGCGTGATATTGTTCTTGTGTACGAGAACTGAAATGAATGCTCTTGAAAACGTCTCGTTCGTCCGTTCTTGCTTCTAACACGCACAAACACGTGTCACGGACCAACAGCAAGAGAAGCTGAACCAACTGTGCTACCAGGTGTCGTGGGATCTTGCCGCGCCGCGGCCAAAGCGGCAGGCCATCCGCCCCGTAAGCAAGTTTCCGCACGGGCACGCTTACGTCAACGAGGAATACTGCGGCGAGCAAAAGTCCCCAGGTTGTGCGTGTGCGTGCGTGTGCGTGCGTGTGCATGAGCGTGCGTGAGTGTGCGTGCGTGTGCGTGCGTGTGCCTGTGTTCGCGCAAGTGTGCGTGTGAGTGTGTGTGTGTGTGTCGATGCGTGTGTGAGAGAGAGTGTGTGAGTGTGTATGTACCTGGCTGCGCCCAGACCCGCGTCTATCAGAATACGATCATCACAGCAAACCTTTGTCATTGAAACTCACTCTACTCACGACAACACTGCTCGCTCCTCATCATTTCGAGGCCTGCAGGCGATGTGATCCCGGCTTATGGCAATTGGTTGTACGGCAGTACCTGCCAAAACGTCACCGGTGGCTCCGTCTTCTACGCGTGAGTTCACGAGTCGAGGAGTGTGTCCTGGGTATCGCTGTATGTCGCTCCTTGCGCGCGCGCGTGTATGTGTGTTCGTGTGTGCGTGTGTGTGTGTGTGTTTGACGTCTGAGCACAGTGGAGAAGTCGCAAGCGACAGTCTTCCGCCCTTGCTTGCCGCACGCTGAGAGTTCCCACAAGCAAAACTCATCTCCAACTGCCACTGATCGTGCCGTTGCAGCTACAACTATCCGAATGGAGCGAGCAGCAACACGGGCTTCGAGCAGTCGGTACGCTGGCACTTGCGTGCATGTGTGTAACTGTGCATTTGTGTTTGTTTATGTTTGTTGGCCAGCTCGCCACCGTCTACGCTGTCGTGCAGCACAGCCCACTTGTGCTAACAATCTCCAATCATTACTCACACGCAACTCGCCGCGCTGTCGCGCGGAAACAGGAGAGCGACCTGCTGTATTTCGTCGTCGACGAAGACTTGCGTGTGTCCTTCGTCCTCGTGCACGACAAACCTGACGACCCGACCGGCGGCAGGGTTCGCCTTGAAATCAACAGCCCGGGTGTGTGTTTGCGTGTGCTGTGTTGTGTGTACGTGCTGTGTGACTGCTCGAACTCCTCCCCATCCGTCTACCTGTGAGTTGTATGCCCGTCTCCCTTCGCATCATCCCTAACTGCCGTCCACAACCACTGCCCGCCCCCCCCACATGATCCCCGACCCTATCCCCCCGCCCAACAAGACCTGGCTGGGGAGGGCGTACAGGTGCTGGAGCGAGATGATAACACGGGCTTCTCACCAAGCTGCTTCGACGCAACAAACGACTGCTACCACTGGGACACCGACACAGGCTACGGCAACTTCTACTGGGCATGGGTGAGCTTGTAGAGAAGCAGAAGGGCTTCACTCACTCGTCAGACACCATCCTAACTTGCTTGCTCGAGTCCCTATGTGTTTGGCTTCTCGAAGCGCATCCTGCACGTGGTTGCTTCGCCCATGCATTCCTGCACTCCCACGATGGGTCGCGGTGCCAGGACGCCATCTCACCCCATGCGCCCAACATCACCCCTCCCGACGTAATGTAACACCACCTCCCTCCGAAACACCACGTCACCCACCTCAACGCAGGCGGCGTGCTGCACGGATGGGATGGTGCTTGGACACATCAACGACCTTGAGTGGCGCTTCAACATCCGCTACTTCAAGGAGGACCTGGTGGACATTGACAAGTTCAAGATTGGAAACTTCCGCGAGGACGCCAACACCATGGACTTTATCACCCTCGACGCAGTACGCGCACATGCGTGGATACATGTGCGCGTGTGTTTGCACAGATGTCCATGCGCGCGTGCATGTCGGCGTGTGCACGCCACAGTGTACGCAAGCAAGAAGTGCGCCACAAAGAAATAGATACTCACACCCCCTTCACCCCTCTCACTCACGTACACACACACACACACACACACACACACACACACACACACACACACACACGCTTCCACGCGTGCGTGATATCACTTGTGCCAGGATGCCGTGAGCACGAGCGGAGTGGAGGTGCGGGCGCTGTCGTGCGAGGCATACTGCGCTGCCAAGACCTCCTGTGGCGAATGTATTGCTGATCCGCAGTGCGGCTGGTGCGAATCGTCTGGGTGCACCACCACCACCCTCGCGGTAAGAGAGAACCAAGGAGTGTGGGGATGGAGGTGGTGTTGGTGGTGGCAGTGGTGGTGGCAGTGTGGAGGTTGTCAATTGTTGTATCCATTCCCTGCTGCTGCAGTGTTGCATGCTGTGTTGATCTTTGTCTGCCCGCGACGTTTCGTGAACCACTGTGACGTTGCGTTGAAGTTGATGACTCTGTTGTTCATTTGTTCTGCGACCTTGTCTACGCTCCGCTCACACACACTGTGCACACACACACACACACACACACACACACACACACACACACACACACACACACACACACACACACACACACACACACACACACACACCACACAACGGCACAGGAGACGTGTGCTGCATCGGAGTGGCAGGAGAGCGGGTGCTGTGCCGTGTGCACGCTGCAGAACGACTGCACGTCGTGCGTCAACACCCCTGGGTGCGGCTGGAGCTACGATCGTGCAGAGTGCTTGTCAGGTGCGCAGCATGGACCTGTGAAAGCGCGTTTTGAAGTTGAAATGGGTTGAAGCTGAAATGGTCTGCACCCACGACATGCCGGACAGAAATGCTGTCGTGTTTGCCAACCGCAGAGCTACACTTGCCCATCACATCACCAGCACCACATTCACGCGCTCACACACACACACACCCACACACGCACACGCACACACGCACACACACACATACACACACACACACACGCACACACACACACACACACACGAACCCTTTCACCATACCCACACCCACCGCGCAGGCGCGTACACACAGGGCAGCTGCGAGCCGACCACGTGGTACCAGCTGCACGAAGCAAACGTGACACAGTGCCTCCACCCTCCAGGTGCCGTCTTCAACGACACCAGCGACAGCGTCGACACGGAGTAGGTTGTGCTTGGGGCAGCCCGCACTGTAGATGGGTTCAGATGTGCACGTGCCATTCGAAGGATGACCCACCACACCTGCATGTCACTGCTCACCAACACCCTTCCCGCCACCATTTGTTGTTCCACCTCCCCCCTCCACTTTTCCAAACACAGTGTTGTATTTGACTGGTGCAGCGGCCACGGCACGTACTCCTTTGACGACAACACGTGCACATGCGATGCCGGCTACTTTGGCGCGGACTGTGCACGCGAGGTGCGGTGGTGCTGGCATGACGAGGACACGTGCCGCTGTGCTTTTGAGTGTTCTATCCTGTGTTGTATTGTGTGGAAGTACATGTTCCTATTGTGTTGCCCACGTTATTTCGGCAATCAAGCTGACCTTCCTGAACACCATCACACCATCACAACCCCATGTATTCTTGTGGTTGCAGTGCCCTGGCGGTGCCAGCAACCCGTGCAATGGAAACGGCGAATGCGACGCACTCACAGGTGTGATTGACCTGGTCACAGCTTGACAAGATCACAAACGCACGTGGTGCATTGTGCACCCCGTCTTGTGTGATTATTGTCCAACACAACACCCGACGCGTTGTGTGAGGCACAATGAGCACACTCTGACCACCACCCTAACCCACCACTACCCTACTCCATCACCACCACCTTACATCGTTGCAGGCCAGTGCTACTGCGACTGCGGGTTCGCGGGCGCCAATTGCTCCATCACGGGCTGCCCGTGCACAGACGAGTTCTGCTTCCTCAGCGAAGATGGTGCCTGTCCCCTCCTGTGCGGCCGCAAGTACGTGCATTCGAGGACAAGAGGAGGAAGGGGTCGGGTTGGTGACGGGGAACGCGTGTGGGTGTGCGATTTGTGTGTGTGTGTGTGTTTGATGTAAGTAACAGCAACATCTGGTGCGGGGGTAGGTCTTGAACGTTGCATTCTTGCTACACACATACATAGAGACACACACTACACACGCACACGCACACACACACACTACACACTCACTCAACCGCCCATCCACATGTGCGTGCACTGCAGCCTGGCAAGCAAGTGCACGGGGTCGGATGTGCTCGAGCTGCCCGTCGCCGATCGCCCCTCCGCCCGCATCGCCAGTGACGCCGGCCGGTGTGCGTGCACGTCCAAGTTCTGGGGCCCATCGTGCAACATGACCTGCCCCGGTGTCAACGACGACGGCTCTGGCGACGTCTGCGGCGGTCTCGGTGAGCAATGCCACATGTGAACAGCGAGGAGCAGGACGGAGGAAGTTGTGTGTGTGTGTGTGTCGCGCTTGTATGTGTGCGTGCGTGTGTGTGTGCGCGCACACTGTATCGTTCGCGTACAATGTGCCTGCAAGCAAATCACGCCTACACAGCTGTACCGCCTTTGGTGCTGGTGTGACTGCTTCTCACACTGTGCAATCTTCTCTCGTTTCTTCGTCCAGGCTCTTGCAGCGTGGCGGATGGCACGTGCTCGTGCGAGCCCTGCTACGCACCCAATCCAACAACGGGAATATGCGAAGACGCGCCCTGCCCAACTTGTCTGGTGAGTGCAGAGGCTTGCATACACACACGTGTGTAAGCAGACATGTGTGCACTCGCCTTTGCCACCAACAGCTGCTCGTCTTGATCTCCATCGCGCTTGACAGTATGGTCGTCATCCGCTGCCACCCTCAATACCTCACACCAACAACCGGCCTGACCCCGGCTGCGCCAACGTTGCTTTTGTGTATCAGTTTGACGGCGAGTGCGTGTGTGTCAACGGAGAGAAGACGTGCAGCTGCAAAGGACAGCGCGACGGCGACACATGTGAGCTCTGCAACTGCCTGAACGGCGGCAGCTGCAACGCCATCACGGGCGAGTGTGACTGCGCTGCCGGCTTCTACGGAGACCTGTGCGATTTTGCCTGCACGCGTGAGACCCTGTGCAACGGCCATGGTACCTGCAACGGCCCGCTCAGAAGGTGTGCACGCGTAGTTTGTGTGTGCAGGCGTACACGTGTGCGTGTGCGTGTGTGCGTGTGTGTGTGCGCGTGTGTGTGCGTGTGTGTGTGTGCGTGTGTGTGTGCGCGTGTGTGTGCGTGTGTGTGCATGCGCGCGGGGATGTGAGATCCCCTCCTTTGCGAACATATGTTTGCGGTTGTGCCAACAAGATTGTCTTGGCTGCCTTTCATGCATGCAACCTCACAAGCCACTATCATCACCGCCACCCTTGGCTGGGTGCAGATGCGACTGTGACGCGGACTATGTTGGTGACGAGGACCATCAGTGCGAGTTCTACTGTCCCGCCGAAGCCTGCCTGAACAACGGCACCTGCAGCCTCTCCAACGGAACATGCCTCTGCCAAATGGTGCGCAACATTCCCTGGCGCGCTGGCGCTGGTGGCTGTCATACTACAAACACAACACAACACAACACAACACAACACAACACAACACAACACAACACAACACAACACAACACAACACAACACAACATATACAGATGTTTTCTTGTGTTGTGTGACTTGAAAAGTTGGGCTCCAATGGCCATTCGCAAACGCACACGCACATGCACGTGCTGATGTTCTTTGCCTTGACCACCTTCCCTCCCATCCTTCCTTCCCTTCCCTCCAGGGCTACTTTGGCGCTTCGTGCCAGAACAACACGTGCCAGCTCGACCCGTGCCAGAATGGCGGGGCTTGTCGCATGGACTTTTTCAACAAGGAGTTTGGCTACACGTGCGAATGCCAGCCGGGCTTCGAGGGCCAGAACTGCGAGGTCAGCGCTTTGTCTCGTGAGTGCGTGTATACATGTGCATGTGTGTGTGCATTCGTGTGCTTTGCCGTGTATTGCTGCGTTTCCTTGAATATGTGCCTGCATGCATGTGTGGATCTGCTTGCTGCATCACGAGTTGGTTGCATCACACATGCCTGTGCCCGCTCCATCGACACTTGCACACTCACCCACTCGCTCACATCTCATTTGCAAATCATCAACGCAACAACAACATCCCTGCCACTCCCTGCATTCACCGCTTTCAAAACTGCCCCAACTGCTGCCAGGTTGACATTGACGAATGCCTGCTGGGCAACGACTGCTACGGCGCTGACTGCATTGACAAAATCAACGGATACACGTGCAAGTGCAAGCCGGGTTACATTCGCGTGACGCCAACGGCCTGCGTGGAGATTGATGAGTGCCGTGTGGGTGTGCACTTTTGCGACGAGCATGCCACGTGCATGAATGTTCCTGGCGGATACGAGTGCGTGTGCAACGATGGATATGCCGGCACCGGGTTCGCGTGCTCCAACGTGGACGAGTGCGCACTCGGCACGCATACCTGCGATGACCACGCAACATGCGCTGACACAGAAGGTGTGGCCATGTGTCGTGTGTGTTTGTAAGGGTGGGAGGGCTGTATGCGTGTTCGCGCGCATGCGTGTGTAATTATGTGTGCAGGGGTGTGTAATTATGTGTGCAGGGGTGTGTAATTATGTGTGCATAGGTGTGTGAGTGTGCATGTGGATGTGTGTGTGTGTGTGTGTGTGCCAGTGTGGCGATCTTTCTCCAATTCCTCGACCTCACCACTTAAACCCACACTCACATGCACCCCGCATGCACTGTTGTTTTATCACCGCAGGGAGCTTCACGTGCACGTGCGGTGACGGGTATTTGGGCGATGGCCTGACAACAGGCGTCGGCTGCCAAGGTGTCGTGCTCTCACATAGTTCTGTTGCAGGAGTGTATCATGGCCACACGCGCGCACATGCACATGCTGCTGTTGTTGTCAACGAGCTTCGTCTCTGCGTGCTTGCATGCATGCATCATTGAGAGGATACTCTTCGCAGCTCTGAGCACGCGTCACCACTCGTGAACTACCACCACTCCCTGCTCGCTCGCTCGCTATGCTTTATCTCATTCGTTGCCGCCCCCTTGATTCCACACATGGCAGAATACTGCTGGGACAACCCGTGCATGTACGGCGGCGAGTGCACGTTCACGCGCGACAACTACACGTGCACGTGTGCGTCTGGGTACGAGGGCACCAACTGTGAGCTCAATGCCACCGTCTGCGCGGCTCTCTCCCCCTGCGCCCCCGGCGCCACGTGCATCAACGGCCGCGTTGTTGCGCCGGGCGAATTCCCACAATTCACATGCAACTGCTCAGCAGGTATGTGCAGTGTGTGTGCGTGTGTGCGTGTGTGTGTGTGTGGGGGGGGGGTATTGCATGGTGTGTGTAGTGTATAGTATGTCTTGTATGGTGTGTGTGTGTGTATATTCTGTGTGTGTACTCTGTATGTGTGTGTGTGCGCGTCTTACTGTGTACATGCATGTGTCGTGTACACATTCGCGTTGTCACAATGGTGTGCCGCATCACCATACCGCAACCGTGTTATGTCTGAATACGATAGAGCTTGGGCATCCAAGCTGCACTGTACTGCGACCAGCAGCTTCGACACAAACCGTAAGTGGTGGTGTTCATGTAAGCGGGTGATGGCTAGTGATGGCTTCTTTGCAACACATGCACGTGTAATTGCATCTGTTGCTTCACCTCACCAGTAACCACCCACCCACGCACTCGCATACACACACGCACACACACACATGTTCACACATACATGCATCGCCAGCTGCTTGAGGGCAAGACGGCACCATTTGTGTTCGCTGCCATCGGCGGTGGTGCGCTCCTGCTCTTGATTGTCGTCGCCGTTGCGCTTCGACGCCGCAGCAGCAGCAACTCCACCGACACAAAGGTGAGACCTCGTATGATGGAAACAAGATCTGGCATGAAGAGCGTGTGTGCGCATTTGTGTCTGATGCTGTTGTTCGTGTTGACACAACTCGAAATCACCACGTACCATCGTCGCTCACACTGTTGTCATACCAATGCGCATGTACACATGTCAAATCCATCACCACCACTGCCACCCAATCAGACTGCATCCGACATGGCTGATGACAGTACAGCAGCAGCAACAACAACAGCGGCGACTGTGGCACCAGGTGTTGGCGATGCACTCATGGCCAGTGAAGCAGACGGCAAGGCAGAGGTTCTGCACAACACAGGTAAGCAGTTGCTTGTAGTGTTGATCGTAGGCACATGACTACCCAAGTCTATGAATGGTTCGCTCGTGTATGTGTGTGTGCGTGTGTGCGTGTATGTGTGTGTGCGTGTGTGCGTGTGTGCGTGTGTGCGTGTGTGCGTGTGTGCATGTGCGTGTGTTTGAATGTGTGTGTGTGTGCGTGTGTGCGCGTGTGCGTGTGTGCGTGTGCGTGTGCGTGTGTGCGTGTGCATGTGCGTATGTGCGTGTGAATGAATTTCCAGCCTCATCACTGAGCACTGACGCCCACCTATGCACGGACACTGCGTGCACGGGTTGACACAGACAACGCAGCTGTTGACGACGGCGATGCAAGCGCTGCAGCGTATGCGGACACGAGTCAGCTGCGGGAAAGCGTGCTGGTTGAGGATGAGAGCGATGACGGCGAGGACGACTATGCGCGTGCACACGACGTTCGCGCTGGCGCTGCTAGCGAGGATGACTACGACAACACCCGCGGCGGGAACATGAAGAGCGATGTGGGCGATGATGACGATGACGACGACGACACATACGCATCAGCACACGCTGTTGGCGCGGTGGAGTCTGAGTATGAGGACGACGAGAATGAAGCCACAGAGCCCGCGGCAATGGCAAGCAAGCCAGTGGCGAACACCAACGGCGACAGCCAGACCACAGCATCCTCCTCGTCACCATACTACGCAGTGAACAGCAACGGGAGTGTTGGGGAGCACAGCGTTCCCGTGTATGAGGCGCTGCGACGGAACGAGTCTTCGAGCGTGCTGCTGGCTAGCACGCTTGCAGAGTTTGCCGATAAGCAGTGATGTGATGCGCCCTCCTGTGCACCTGCTTTGACTCTTGCACGTGGCTGTTGACGTGATGCTTTTTGATTTGTGTGTGGTTTCGCGTGGGGAGTGGGATATGACATTGGCTTGCGATGTGGAGCAATGGTATTGGCTAGCTTTTGTTCCAACGGAAGTGCCCTCGTGCAAGGCGGGTGTGGCGGACACATGCGCTTGTGCAAAGTGATTGGTAAATGGATCATGGCCTTGATGTGATTTGTCGTCTGTTTAATTGGTGTCTGCACTGACTTGCTGTGTGGCTGTCTCTGGTCGGGTGTAAAACACGAACAGAGCCGGCAAGCACAACACCGGCAGCGGCGCTGTAATGGCATTGCATTGCATGCAAGAGCATTCACATACAGCAAGCAGCCCAACGCGACACCATCCAACAAAACACAAGACAGTATTGGGGGGGGGGGGAGAGAAGGGTAGTGTCAGCACGAAGACAAACAAACAAAGAAGGAAGGGGGGGGGGGATGGCCTGAGGCTGTCGACGAAAAGTTGGTGGGTTGAGGAGTTGGTCGAGTATGCGACAACAAGAGAGCGGTTAAACAAGCAAGCACACAAGCGCGACGAGGGGCGGAGTGCGTGCTCAGAGGCAAACAACGAGTTGGCTCACGTACACATCACATCATCCCACGCAACACATGATACGCCACGCATCATCAAAGGTCACAAACAAAACACAGCATCAAGTGCAACACGCGCGCGCGTGCTTGTTCAGCCGGAGTCACGTCTCGTTGTCGACAACACACAAACACAGCAGGCACGACCAGGCGTCGCCAGGGGCGACGGTGCTTAGTTGAGCGAGTTGGTGACAAACTGGTTGACCATGTGCAGCGCAACCTCGGGCTTGTCGTGGGGCACCATGTGGCCGGCGGCGTGCACCTGCAGGAAGTTGAAGCCGTTGGCAGAGCGCAGCACACCCGCGGTGGTGCCGTTGAAGTTCCAGTTGTTGTCCTGGGCGTTGTTAAACGCAGACTTGCCTGGCCAGTCGAGGGCAAGCGTCCACTGCTTGTTGCCTGTAAAGTTGATACAGAGCGCGAGAGAGAGGAGAGAGAGAGTGGAGAGAGAGAGAGGTGAGGGAGAGAGAGAGAGAGAGAGAGAGAGAGAGAGAGAGAGAGAGAGAGAGAGAGAGAGAGTGTGTGTGTGTGTGTGTGTGTGTGTGTGTATGTATGTGTGAAGCTGCACAGCACACGCAATAACAAGGGAGAGTGTGCAACCCACCGATCCAGTTGCAAATGTAGCCGGCGTAGATGAGGACGCGCGTGCCGTTGGCGAGGAGGCTGGGGATGTCCTGCTGGAAGTTCTTCATCCAGTCCGAGGAGAACGCGGCGTTGACCGTGTTGTTGCACGACTCCCACTTGATGCCAGGGGGGACACCAAGCTGGCGCTGCACAGAGGGCGTGTTGAGGAACTTGTCCACGTTGCGCGTGTCGTAGCAGAGCGGGTTGGGGCCACAGGGCTTGCGGATGTCGTAAGGGTTGAGGCCGTGAGCCTCGTAGGGGGCAATCATCACCTCGTTGCAGTACATCTGGGCGCCGGGGCACGCGCTCGTGTCCGTCTGGCAGGCGGCAATCTTCTTTTGGCAGGTGGGCCAGAGGAACTTCATGAGCTTGTACTGCGCCTCCGTGAGCACGGGCTTGCCGAGGACCTGCTTGGCCCAGTCGTAGCCCATCTGCGGGTAGTACTCGTACTGCACGAGCGGATCCGTCAGGCCGTTGCCGACACCGAGGCCTTGCAGGTTCAGCGACTGGTGTGTGATTGTGTGTGTGTGTGTGTGTGTGTGTGGTGGGGAAAAGAATGTGAGAAGGAGTGCGTGGTGCAGTTACGAAGCAAGGCGTTCGCGAGCGATGTTCAAGACATACACACACACTCTGACACACATCTGACACACACACACAAGGGCACACGTACGCATACACACAGAGCAAACCAACCTTGCCAACGCGGTGGGCTGTGGCCGGGGCGTAGTGGCCGCCGTAGGACTCGCCGAAGATGTACAGAGCGCGGTTAGCGAGGTCGGCGTGGGCGTTGAAGAACTCGTGCAGGAAGTTGTACATGTCCTCAGCAACCTACAATCATTCAATCAATCAAGCAAGCAGCAAAGTGACGTCACGCCACACCACATACCGCTGAGTGTGAGGACGGTGTTCACACAGCAATGAGCACACACACATGGTGTCGGTGTCATTTGACACACATTGAGACACGCACATAGCTTTCACGCCGTGCAATACATTGCCACCTCCTCCGCTCAATCCATCCCACCACTCTCCCTCTCCCGTTGCTCGCCTCTCTGCCAGGTTCGCGTGCGCACCATGGCCTCGTTGTGGTCCTCGTCGCCGGCATCGCCGTAGGAGAAGCCAACGCCAGCGGGCTGGTCAACGAAGATAATGTTGGCCTGGGCGTTCCAGCCAAAGGGGTTCTCAATCGTGGCAGTGCCTTCAATGGCATGTAGGCAAGCCCGCACGTTTGACGTGGAGGGGGAACGAGGCGTTGGGATGTGAGGGAGAATGACGTGCCAAGTGTAGACAGACACACTCACACACACACACACACACACACACAAACGCCTGCCAAATCGACAGGTACGCGGTTACTGCGTGCTCACCATCCTGGTTGACGGTGCAAGGGCCGTTCTCGAAGAGGAGGGCAAGCTGGCTGCTGCAGCCGGGGCCGCCTAGTTAGTAAGTGGTTGCGGTTTGTTTAAAGTGGTATGGAGGGGCGGGTAGTCGAAGGAAAGCAAGGTGAGGGAGGAAACAGTGAGTATGGGGTATGCTGTTGTTGGCATTCGCAGGATGGTTTACGCCCACACTCACAAACCATGGCAACGCACCGGTCATCCAAAGGATCACGGGGTCAGTGGAAGGGTTGCTCTTGCTCTGAAAGTACCAGTAGAAGTAGTTCTTGTTCCTGCCAAGCAAGCAAAATGGGCGGCAAGGCAAATGGGGCGAGTGAGTGGGTCAGTGACATAAAACACTAAGGCGCAGCATGTGTGTGTGTGTACGCGCATATTCAGTGTAACGAAGTGTGGCGCAAGTTGCCCCTCCCTGGCAAAGGCCAAGTGGACACCAAAATTGGAGGGATGGGCGAACAATGAGCATGGATGACACGCGCCAAGTACAAGTGGGAGCTACAGGGTTGTTTGCGGCAGCCAACTCACTTGCCACCCTGGATGGTGAAGTAGCCGGCCTCGGCCTTGGTCTTGCCACAGAGACCTGTGACATCGTTGCCATCAAGGAAGCCCTGCAATGTCAAAATGGTATGAATCATGGGTAAAAAGGTGAAGCAGGGAAGGGAGAGGGGAGAACAGACGTGGTGGTCATGGTGAGAAAGAGCGGCAACAACCAAGTCAGTGAAGGATGTGGAAAGAAGATGCTGCTGCAGGGATGCACACACACACACACACACACAGAACAGTGACGGCGCGACACTGACACAAGCACACAGCGACACCTCACAGTCACAGCACACGTTTTGATACAACGCACCTTGAAGTCGCCTTCAGGGGTAGACCAGTAGCGAGTGGCCTGCACAGAGGCAACAACGGCCAGTGCAACAAGCACGGAAACAGCAAGCTTCATCTCGGCACACAACAACACGCAGTGAAGGTGGAGGGGAGGTTGGTGGTCGAAAGAGGAAAATGCAGCAGCGACCAGCACCAAGCAAACACGCGGTCGCACAAGCACCAACTTTGGAGGCTTGGAGGAGAATCTTGACGAATGTCTTCAAGCAAACACGAAAATTGGCCGTGCCTTGAAAGTCGTCATTCCCAGGACGAGAAAGCGACATCACAAAGCGCATTACCCATCCATCTTCTTGTTTTTGTTTGGTTGTGCTGGCTGGCTGTTCTCTTGCTGCAGGCACAACCGCAACTCCCACACACACAGAGGCTGACTGCTTGCCTGTTGGCTTGGTGAGTGGAAGTTGGTTGGTTGGTTTGGGAGTGATGTGTGTGTGTGTGTGTGTGTCACGTATGCATGTGTGTCACGTATGCGTGTGTCTTGTGCATCATGCATGTGGCATGTCTCGGTTTCTCGCGTGTGATACGACGTGGTGTGAATCATATGTCGTGCCTGAAACGTTAACAACGAACAACGAGCAACAGCGCACTTGTCATTGTGTGACCACGGCTTTTCACAGCCAACCCCAGCAAGCCAACACGGTGGTGCCTGCATTCATTTCATTGTACGAGCCAAAGGCTCTGATTCCTTGCTTCATTTCACTCACGTCACCTGATTGGTTTTGTTTGACTGCACACACCACTGTGACACCACACTCCCACAAACAAACTTGCCTGCTTGACACCATCATCCACCATGATGAATGAACCTGCGGCACCGGTTGCAGCACCCCCAAGGAGGTTTTGGGTTGCAGATCGCATCGGCCTCATCGACGACAACCGCGCGGGCGGCTGCAGCGGAGATCGTGCCCACAGCCACCAACAACAACAGCCTTTGTTCGCTGACCAGGAGTACGCTGTGGTTCTGCGGAGAGGTCAACGCCGGAAAGGAGACGCAAGGAGAGCAAGCAGCAGAAGAAGCCGGCTCTCGTGGAGTCAGCGACGCGCTTCCGTCATGTCTGTGTTCTCTCAAGTCAAGAAGCACTTTAGCCGGCACAAGGAGCACGCGGCCCATGCGGGGCCGGCCTCAACAGATGTCGGGTCCACAGCTGTCATCGGCCGCTATGCTGTCCACATCACCAGCAAGCTCGCCGAGGGTGCGTGCATGAGTGAGTGAGTGAGTGAGTGAGTGAGTGAGTGAGTGAGTGAGTGAGTGAGTGAGTGAGTGAGTGAGTGAGTGAGTGAGTGAGTGAGTGAGTGAGTGAGTGAGTGAGT